TGAACTTCGGTGAGGTATGAGCCACCAAGCTCCACCCAAGGGTGACCACAGAAGTAGACAACTTGTGTACCAGAAACATCAACCAGCAGCCCCAGATAGTTTATGTAGGATTGCTTCATTCCAGACAGGAGAACTGGGATCCATGGGCAGAAGTTCCGAGGGGACAGATTCCAGTTCAGGATCGAGAAGAACACTGTAACTCTCAGAGATGCCTTTAGGCAGCGAGCTCTCTATCACAAAAGGTGTTCAGGCAGCGGCTGAGGATCACCCTCCAGAAGTGCTACTGGGGCAAGCCCTGTCTTGGACGAGATCCTAAGGTCTCATCCAACACCAGGGTTCTCTGATTAGCACCAAATGAATGGCTCAACAATTGGTGCTGTGGAGTTTCAGAGGCAGGAACAACGGCCATGGGTTTTGATTGGGGGCTGCAGGCCCTGATGCTTAGGCCAGGCCTTGAGGGTCGCTAGGTACCAGGTAGGTGGGAGACCCCCAGCATGTTGCAGTCCCAGGAAAGCACCCTTCACCTGCAAAGTAAAGGGGCTCCTGCTTATCTGCTGCCAGACTCGCAAAGGGGAATTAATTATTGTTTGTGATACAATTTAAGATCCCCCGATGAAAGGCCTTGTATAAATGTAAATTATCATTATTGTCATTAAAGGGGCTAGATGTCTGGCCTGCTGGATAATGCCCCCACATAACTCTGAGCAGAAAAGAAAGCCAACTCAACACAGGAAGTTTGCCCTGCTCTTCCAAAGCAATAGCAGTAAGAAGGGCAGGCTAAGGAGGGCTCTGTTCGTGGCTGTGAAAGCGAGCAGCTCCCCTCTCTCATCCAGGGTTAGCATGCAGCTCTCTCTGCTCTGGGAGTCAAGTGACTATGTGTCCCCTGAGGGCCAGGGCCCTGCCCAGAAGCAGTCCTTTACCCTTGCAGGAACCAGCCCATTACTAGCACAGGAGTGATCCATGCATGTGTGAATGTTTGGTTGTCTGCTGATTTGAAGGGTGGAAGGAACATGACCAGGACGGATAATGGCCAGCATTTGTGGGGTCCTAAGTCAGATCTGGAGACAAAAGGGAGATAGCTAAACGGTCCAGACATGTGCAGCACCTCTGATGATGCTTACTAAGGCGCTTGAGGGAACCCTCAGCAAAGCACAGGGAGAGGTCATTTGTTAAATTACTGCTTCTACTTAAGAAACTGTTTCTGGCTAAAGTGGTTGGATTGATACCAAAGCGGTAATAATAATGATGGATAATAGTATATTAGACCGAGCAGTGACCTCAGAAACCATCCCTTCACTTTGCAGGTGAGGCATCTCTGGGGTACAGAGAAGTGAAGTGGCTTCTCCAAAGTGGCGTAGCAGAGAAAAGCAGAGCTGGAATCACAGCTTAAGCTCCCCATGCCAAGTCCGCAGTCTGAATATGCGGGATGATGGTACCTGCCCTGTGACAGCGCTTCACAGAGGTATTACTCCTCAACAACCCTAAGGAGTTTAAGATGACCTTTATGTTACAGGAACCTTCTGGGCTTCCTTTGCTCTTCTGGGGTTCGTTATTTAGAGAACGTTTATGGTGCCTCACATGTCACCTGGGGGACTGCATGCACCCTCCTTCTTGCACTTCTTTTCCTTCTCCCAGACACTCAGATTAGCCTTCGTGCTTCATTAGGGTGCCCTAGCACTTCCAGGAACCACATGGGCCTGTAAGAGGTAGGTCAAGTTCATCCCTTTTGTCTCTTGTTATCACAGTCATAATTCTGCTGAAAAGCTACACCATGCAGGTCCCAAGATGAGAGCTAGCTTCAGCAGTCAACCCGCCAGACACACAGAGCTACCAGAGGGAGGGCATTTAGGGGGTTTTGTAAAACAAATGTAGGTGCGATGGGGGTTGGCAGTGAAAAGCCCTCGAAATTCATTACTTGGGCTGTTGGCAGCTCTAGGAAAAGTTTAATGGCGGAGACCAAAATACAGCCACAATGAGGTTTGAGACGGGAGAGAGCACGAAATCAAAAAATTTTAGAAATTATGTCTTACTCCCTTATTACATAAGAGAAAACAGAGCAGTGATTTGCCATTATACAGCAAAGCCAGGGGCAGAACCCAAGGCTCCCAACTCAGTGGACAGTGCACTTTCTGCTGAAAATCATGGTGGCATGGAAAGAATGCCACCATGGTGCCCTTTGGAGTCAGGCAGCTCTGGATTCCTAACTAGCATTGCCACATATTAGCTGTGTGGTCTCAGAAAAGTTACTTTGGGCCAGACATGGTGGCTCATGCCTACAATTTCAGAACTTTGGGAGGCTGAAGCAGGAGGACCACTTGAGCTCAGGAGTTTGAGACCAGTCTGGGCAACATAGTGAGACCCCCATCTCTACAAAAAAAGATTTTTAATTAGCTGGGCATGATGGCACACTCCTATAGTCCTAGCTACTCAGGAGGCTGAGGCAGGAGGTCACTTGAGCCCTGGAGGTCGAGGCTGCAGTGAGCCAAGATCACGCTACCATACTCTAGCCTACATGACAGAGAGAGACCCTGTCTCAAAAAAGAAAAGAAAAGAAAACTTACTTTGCATCTCTCACCATAGATTTTTGTCAAAAATAGAATCACCTGCCTGGTAGTAGGCCTGTCAGGAGGAGTAAATATGAAATAAGACAGATGAAAACAATTAGCACAATATCTGGCGTGTAGTAGGCGCCGCCCTTTCCTCATACTTGTGGATTCCAAAGTCTTTTTTTTTAAACCACAATCCACATGATATTTTCCATTTGAATCCCACATATACAACTAAAACCAAAGCGCCACAGACAATGCACTCTGATTTTATTTCACTTTATTTTAATACTGTTCAGGACCCACTAAATGGATTTTGCAACCCACTGTTTGAACAAGCCTACTTTACACCATGTGGGGATATCATTCATCCGTGTTGCAGATACGTCCTTCCTTTCCTCCCTTCCCTCCCCCTCTGTAACTGGTACCTGGGGCCACAGAGCTATGTGCTGAAAGCATGTGCAGGGCCCGAGCTGGTGCAGCATGGAGTGAGCCCTGCAGCCCAGCAGAGAAGGTGCACGTCTCCTCCCGTGCTTCTCCCCAGCCTCTACTGCATGATTTCAGGAGACTCCTAAGCCCCCCACCTGCCGTAAGTTCTGCCGCTGCCAGCCTGCATGGAATTTTCCCACCTCCCACCCCAGCAGAGCCCACCTGAAGTTCCTGTTGGGAGGATTACTCTTGTTGCCAAAGACTGTTGTCTCCAGAAGGCCACTATACCCCAGCAAGGAGGGTGGAGCTTGGACAGCCTCTCTCATTGAATAGTTTCTTCTTTGGGAATTGCTGCTTTTCTGTCTGAAGCCCAGAGAGCCGGGTGTCTGGGGTGTGATTTCAGCTGTCAGAGGGATGCGTGTGAAGAGAAGAAGGACCCTGGTCATCTTGGTGCCCCTCCTTCATATCGTCAAACACCCAGTCAGGGAGGTGAATGCCCCAGAGTGCTGGGTGACCAAAAGCTGTGCCCAAAAGCCAGCATGCAGGGGCCCGAGCACCTGTGGAAACCATGAGTTCTGGCCTCTGGATGCTGAGATCTGGTGGAAGAAACCAAACTTGCAACCAGGCAAACAACACTTCAGAGCCCTGGAGAGACTCTGGGGAGGTGAAGGTTATTTTAGGCCCCAAAGAGCTGATCTCTAAGTGTTCCTGAGGCCCTCCGTTGGGGATCTGTCACTTTCCCTGTGGAGGCGGATGCCTGGCAGTGCCGTGCACAAACCTCAGAGCACTGTCCCAGCTGGGGTGTGACTTGGGGCCTAGACCCACATTCCAGGGTCAGCTCTGCTGGGTCCCTGGCCACTTCCTCTTTGAGGGCCACCCTTTGGTTTTTCCCCTTTCGTTGACTAAGAAGTGAAGGGTAATCTGTGACCTTGGTGGTGACTCACCATCATCAGACAGGTGGCCCACTTCTCCCAGCAGGTAAGCTGCATGAGTAGCCCTCCTCCTGACCAGGACTGTGGCGAGATCCCTGCACGCCACCCCGGGCAGCCTCGTGCCCATTAGCACATCATGGCCTGTGCCAAGTGCCTGCTCTTGCAGCCCTGGGCAGAGGGAGCAGAGGACTCACCATCTGGGCACACCAGCAGGTACAGATGAGGAGACAAGATAAACCCAGGGCTGGGGCTCTGTTCTGGGTTCCCAGGCCCCAGGCAGCAGCACATTCCTTAGCCCCACCCCCACCCCGCCACTACCTGGCCTCATTCCCAGCCCCAGCCCAGCCAGGTGCACCCATCCTCCCAGCCTTTCTCAGAGCCACACAGCCATTCCTGCCTCTCATCAAATAGGTTATGATGGACATGGCAGCCCGAGAGGAAGGGGATGGAGAGGACTTGCTCACACTCCAGCTACTAGCTCTGGGGCCTCAGATCAACCCCCTGGGCAGGCAGGCATTCATTTAGCACCAAACTGACATTCACCTGCTGGGAGCTTCTGACAAGGTGAGAACCAGGGGCACTAAGGGTGAACCATCCCCAGATTCTGCCCTCTAGGCACTTACAGGGACGACCTGTGCTAACGTATCATTAGGATATGCAGTGTCACAGGAGCCATCCTAACTACTCCGCCCTTAGTCTCCCCTTCCCTGTAAAGACTGGACTGTTTGACTCGGCAGTTTCCTTTTTCCTTCTGTTACAAACTTCTGTCATTCTGAAGTACATCTTAAGCCAAATGCTTGCATTTGTTTGAGAACTATTTATTGAGCTGGTATGTGTTGGGCACTATACACCAGTCTAGGGATGCAAAGATGGATAAATATGACCGATGGGCCTTGCCCTCAGGGAGCTTCTCCCAGAGTGAGAGAATGGTTGGTATGTGTAGATGTGTGCACAAATCTGCCATGAACACCAGAGAAGGAAGCCGGTCCCATGGCCGGTGGAGACTCAGGAGCACTTCAGGACTACCCTGTCCCTCCCTCTATGTAGCCAGCTGGCCCTCCCTTCTTCTCCTCCTTCTCATCTGCTGCACCAGGGGATGCCAAGGGAGCAGAGATGCCTGCAGCCTGTGGGAGCAAGTCCTGGCCTTTGCAGTTACAAAAACTGGCTGCAAGTTGCTCCAGCCCCAGAGGAACAGGCCAAGCTCCAGAGGGCCTCCTTGGAGGGCCTCAGAAGGAGAGAGAACTGCTCAGTAATTTTGATCACTTTGGTAAGTATTTTAAAATACCCTGTGATTTAGCAGGAACCAGAATTCAACCCAGTACTTTGATGTCTAGAAATGGATCTCAGTCGGTTGCTGTTGAAGTCCTCCTAAAACGGCGTTTGATTTAATTCAACACATACTGGGACCACAGTCAGCCATCTCACAGGCAAGGAGGCCGAGCTGTATAAATTGTAGTCTAGACACCAATCTAAACATCTCAAACGCAAGGCAGACATAGCCCAGCCCGAGGTTGGAGGCCCAGCATGCTGTGGAATCGAGCAGAGGGGAGATTGATTCCAGCTGAGGGCAAGGGCCTCTGCCTGAAGCTGTGAGCATGTGATACTGTGTTCCCACTGCAATATCAAGCCTTTGCATCTCAAGTTTGTTAATTTCCTCGTTTTGCAAGTTTAGACCCCCTGAAAACAAACGAGGCACGCTCAGGACTTGGCGCATTTAGCGAGACTGACTGTGTACGTGAACCAGTTACAAGCACTTGTTTGTTCCTAAAGCCCACACCCGAGAGCCAGGCTGCCGTCGCCTGGGGCGGAATTACAAAACATGCTCCCATCATGCCAGTCACTCACTCACCAAGGCACCCTGAATTGGATGGCAGTTGTCACAGGGGCCTTTGGAGGGTTTGGGGTGAAGGGCATTGAAACAGAAGCAGGTCTCTTTGTAGCCATCCTGTTGTGAGGATGACCCTTTGACACGAGGCTCTTTGACATGAGGCGAGTAACCCCAAGTGAGTCAGAATTTACAGTGGCGGTTCAGGACAATGAGGACAAGGCAAGACCACGAGGCATGATTAGCAGGACTTGTCTTACACTATTTACAGGACTGCTTTGATTTTCAGACCACAATCGGTTTTCATATGACTGATTAAAAACATGTGCCAGTTGAAGTCACAGCTGCAGAAGAAAACTGGAAAAAGCAATGAGCCTTAGATGTTGGAACTTGCCTCTATTTGCAAAAATGACCTCTGACTTGATTTATGCCCTTGATTTCCTGACAGTGAGGGCTGTGTCCCTGAACCACTTCTCCTGCCACACCCCACCCCACCACCACATTGGCCTGACTCTAGCAAACATCATAAGGCTCATCTTACAATTACCCAAAGAAAAGCATTTTTGAATTCCAGAATTCAAGCCCTGTTTTGGAAGAAGGCAACTGTTAGGCTTTAGCAAAAAAAAAAAAGAAAAAAAGAAGCAGTTCCAAGTAAAGGAGGCTAACAGCAGCAAGTCCACGGGGTTTCGTCCACACGGTCGGGCTCTAGTGGCACTGGGGTTGGAGTGACATTGGCAGGTATCTTAACTAAACTTCTGTTTTCTCGCCTGCAAAATAGGGAGCATGACTGCTGCCACACCCAGTAGTTTTGTAAGCACCACCTTTCAAAGCTGAACTGCCTTAGACGCTCTCTGCCTGTCGCCAGAGTCCCCAGCCTCTTTGGGTTGTATCTCCTGTTTTTGTTTTCATTTATTTAAAGCTATATTGATTCAGTTTGTCAGATTTTATGGATTTTTATTCTTTTCAAAAGATCTATTGAATCAATAAAGCACTATAATTCCAGTAGGAAAAAAGCTCTTTTGATGAGACTTCGTTGAACAAAGGTTCCTACTGGCCTCAACCCCAAGGCCTCTGAGCGTTTCCCTGATGGCTCGCTGTCTTAACTTTCTTCAGTCTCCCGAGATCCCCTTCTCTAGAGAACCCAACCATGAAGTCATTTTCCAGGCATTAGCCCTGATAACTAACTTATCATGAGCTCCCAGCTACCTGAAGCAGAGGGCAGAGGGCAGAGGGGTGGCCGAGAGGAACAGGCCTTCCTGTCCTCCCCAAAACTGTCTATGGCACCTTCTGCTCAGGGCTCTGAAGCGTTCACTAACCCGGCCCCATTTGTATAAAACTATCCAGATAAAAACTATCCAATAATAACCCAACTACTCCCACCACCTTTACAGCATTACCACCTCCTACTGAAACTTGCCATGTGCTGGGCCCTGGGCTTGGTACTTGATATACATTTCCATTCTCCTTACAACCTCCTTGAAAAGAGGTGCTAGTCAACAAAAGATGATAAAGGGGCTATCACCACTGACCCCACAGAAATACAAACAACCACCAGAGAATACTGTAAATACCTCTATGCAAATAATCTAGAAAATCTAGATGAAATGGATAAATTCCTAGACACATAAACCCTTTCAAGACTGAACCAGGAAGAAGTTAAATCCCTGAATAGACCAATAACAAGTTCTGAAATTGAGGCAGTAATAAATAGCCTACCAACCAAAAAAAGCCCAGGACCAGATGGATTTAGAGCTGAATTTTACCAGAGGTACAAAGAGGAGCTGGTACCGTTTCCTCTGAAACTATTCCAAACAATTGAAAAGGAGGGACTTCTCCCTAACTCATTGTATGAGGCCAGCATCATCCTGATACCAAAACCTGGCAGAGATACAACAAAAAAAAGAGAAAATTTCAGGCCAATATCCCCTGATGAACATCGATGCAAAAATCCCCAATAAAATACTGGCAGACTGAATCCAGCAGCACATCAAAAAGCTTATTCACCACAATCAGGTCAGCTTTATCCCTGGGATGCAAGGCTGTTCAACATACCCAAATCAATAAACATAATTCATCACATAAACAGAACTAAAGACAAAAACCACATGATTATCTCAATAGATGCAGAAAAGGCCTTCGATAAAAGTCCTCTCTCACCACTCCTCCTCAACATAGTATTGGAAGTTCTAGCCGGGGCAATCAGGCAAGAGAAAGGAATAAAGTATATTCAAATAGGAAGAGAGGAAGTCAAACGGGCTCTGTTTGCAGATGACATGATCCTATATCTAGAAAACCCCGTTGTCTCAGCCCAAAAGCTTCGTAAACTGATAAGCAACTTCAGCAAAGTCTCAGGATACAAAATCAATATGCAAAAATCATAAGCATTCTTATACACCAACAATAGACAAGCAGAGAGCCAGATCATGAATGAACTCCCATTCACAGTTACTACAAAGAGAATAAAATACCTATGAATACAGCTAGTGAGGGAAGTAAAGGACCTCTTCAAGGAGTACTACAAAGCACTGCTCAAGAAAGTCAGAGACGATACAAACAAATGGAGAAACATTCCATGCTCACGGATAGGAAGAATCAATATGATTAAAATGGCCATACTGCCCAAAGCAATTTATAGATTCAATGCGTTTCCCATTAAACTACCATTGACACTCTTTACAGAATTTTAAAAAGACTACATTAAAATTCATATGAAACTAAAAAAGAGCCCATATAGCCAAGACAATCCTAAGCAAAAATAACAAAGTTGGAGGCATCATGCTACCCGACTTCAAACTATACCACAATAACCAAAACAGCATGGTACTGGCACAAAAACAGACACATAAACCAGTGGAACGGAAAAGAGATCTCAGAAATACGAACACACATCTACAACCATCTGATTTTCGACAAATCTGACAAAAACAAGCAATGGGGAAAGGATTCCCTATTTAATAAATGGTGCTGGGACAACTGGCTAGCCATATACAGAAAACTGAAACCAGACCCCTTCCTTACACCTTATGCAAAAATTAACTCAAGTTGGATTAAAGACTTAAATATAAAACTCAAAACTATAAATACCTTAGAAGAAAATCTAGGCAATACCATTCAGGAAATAGGCACGGGCAAAGATTTCATGACAAAAACATCAAAAGCAATTGCAACAAAACCAAAAATTGACAAATGGGATCTAATTAAAGAGCTCTGCACAGAAAAATAAACTATCTTCAGAATGAACAGACAACCTACAGAATGGGAGAAAATTTTTGCAATGTATCCATCTGTCAAAGGTCTAATATCCAAATCTACAGGGAACTTAAACAAATTTATAGAAAAAAAACTTCATTAAAAAGTGGGCAAAGGACAGGAACAGACACTTCTCAAAAGAAGACATTTATGCGGCCAAGAAACATATGAAAAAAATCTCAACATCACTGATCATTAGACAAATGCAAATCAAAACCGCAATGAGATACCATCTTATGCCAGTCAGAATGGCAGTTATTAAAAAGTGAAGAAACAACAGATGCTGTCAAGGCTGTGGAGAAATAGGAAGACTTTTACACTGTTGGTGGCAATGTAAATTAGTTCGGCCATTGTGGAAGACAGTGTAGCCATTCCTCAAAGACCTAGAATCAGAATTATCATTTGACCCGGCAATCCCGTTACTGAGTATATACACAAAGGAATATAAGTCATTCTATTATAAAGATATATGCATGCATGTGTTCATTGCAGCACTATTCACAATAGCAAAGACATGGAATCAATCCAGCCCATCAATAATAGACTGGATAAAGAAAATGTGGTACATACACACCATGGAATACTATGCAGCCACAAAAAGGAATGATATCGTGTCCTTTGCAGGGACATGGATGGAGCTAGAAGCCATTATTCTCAGCAAACTGGCACAGGAACAGAAAACCAAACACATGTTCTCACTTATAAGTGGGAGCTGAACAATGAGAACGCATGGACGCAGAAGGGAACAACACACACTGGGACCTGTCAGTGGGTGGGGGGTGGGAGGAGAGAGAGCATCAGGATAAATAGCTAATGCATGCAGGGCTTAATACCTAGGTGATGAGTTGAGAGGTGCAGCAAACTACCGTGGCACACTTTCATTATGTAACAAACCTACACGTCCTGGACACGTATCCTGGAACTTAAATTTCTGAAAAAAGAAAAGAAAAAAGAGGTGCTAGTGTCTGAATTTAGAATCAAGACACAAAAAGGTTAAGTGGCTTGCTCAAGGTCACATGGATGATATCTCAGACCATAGCTGGGTGGTCATAGATCATTAAGTAGAAATCTTCCTGTTACAGATGAGGAAACGGAGCCCCAGTTCTGGATGACCCAGTGAGCCAGGGCCCCGGCAAGAGCTGTGAGTCCTCTGCCTCCTAGTGCACTGCCTCTCTTTACAATGCATGCTGACC